GTTGTTCTTTATTCATACATGGCCTAATTCGTTGCCCTGCTGTAGAGCATGGGCAAATTGTTTTGGGCGGGAATGTTTGTTTGGAGTCATGGTCACGGCATCTTCGCGAGGAGGCTCAGAGAGTCTTTGCTGTGGGTGTCACTCCCACAGGCTGCCCTTTTGGAGCACATGGAAGATGGTGGTCCTTCCATGGTGTTTTAAGCAGTAGTGCTCCTGGTGTCACGTGGAGATTCAGTGAATGTATCCTTGGAGTTCTGCCCACAGTATCTTGGCGAAGAGTCTCAGATAGTGTTTGCTGTGGGTGCCCTTCCCATGGGCTGCTCTTTTGGAGCACATGGAAGAAACAGGGACTTCCAGGGTGTTTTAAGCAGTAGCCCTTCTAGTGTCGCGTGAAGATCTTGTGGTCTTTGGGCTTAGGGTACTCTATACACTCCAGAGGGTAGACAGCAGATGGGGGCTGTCTAGCGATGGAGTGATAGAGATAGTGGCGACGCGAGTGGGTTGTTTGGGAGGAATAGGAGTGCCAGTGCTGCTGTGCTTGTGGGCTGACTCGGAGGGCTCTCCAAGTTTTTTCGGACTATGCTGCCTGTGGCCGGTGCTTTCTTGCTGGTGGAGCCTTCTCTGTTAGGCATGTTGTCTTCTGCCCTCTACCTTTGTTTTTAAGGAAAAATTGCATATGGACCCCACTTAAAGATGGGAATATGCGCTATACCCAGTCCCAGCACGAACTTGCATCTATACCCGGAGTGCGTTCAAGTTTGGAGAGTACCTAGCTTTTCCCCTGTGCGAAATTGTAGGTGTACCCAATCCCGCAGGCCCTAGATTCAGAGCACGAAATTATGCTCATGCCCACCAAGAAGACCGTTGTGGCCCAACGGCTGCTGGGTATGAGCATAATTTCAGCCATCCGGGTACCAGGGTATATGAACAATTTGGCCTCCACTCCTCAGGTCCCAGGTATGCCCATAATTTTGCCTGGGTATGTCCATAATTTGTGCATTCTGGTAGTTGGTTATAACCGCAATTTTGCGGTATCAACCTGGGTCCACCTCCGTCCTGGGCATGCAAACAATTTCCACCAGCCGTTTTCTGGGTATAGAGTACTATAGATGCAAGTTGGCGCTGGGACTGGGTATAGCCGGTATTCCCATGTTTAAGTGCGGTACATATGCAATTTTCCCGGGTTTTATAGATTGAAAATACGATATATATATATTTGTGCAAGTGCGCCACTCCGGTGGAAGACGGGTGTGTGGGCACTTCTCGCTCAACCACACAAATGTGGGGAACCTTGC